ATATGTAATCTATATCTATATGGTATGGGTAAACATAAATTCAGTTACCCCCAGAAGCCAGAAGAGAGCATTACACCCCTGGAGCTGGAGTTACATTGTATGGTACCTGATGTGGGTGCTAAGAATCCTCTACAATAATATTACATGCTTTCAACAGCTGAGCCATCTCTCCAGCCCAGCACTATCTTTTAAAACCCAAAATAACTTGTATTTTCATGTTCTAAAAAGCATGCTTTTTTGTAATTGGAAATATGAAAATATCAAGCAACATAAGTATAGATAATCCTATTTGTCCACAAATCCAGATAATCTAAAATCCAGATAATCTTCAATAATTCAGAGTTAATGTCATTAATGTTTTGTGGTTTAGTCTTTCTACCTGTCTTTTTATCTGCTCCCATATTACATGTCTTTCTAAAGTGTGTGGGGACTGTGTGTGTGTGTGTATCTGTGTGTGTGTGTGCGCACCCATACCTGCACATACCCTCAGAAGCCAGAAGAGGGCATTTGTCTCTCTGAAGCTGGAGATGCAGGCAGCTGTAAGCCACTCACTGAGGTTCATGCACTCAGGCTCAGTTCCTCAGGGAGAACAGTAAACACTTCTGTCTGTGACGTCTCTCCCGCCCTGCAGTTTATTATACTTTTCCGACAGCAAGGGGAACTGGACTCTTCTTTGCTCTCTGCTATGTGATCTTACTTGGCTGTGCTTCGAGTCCAGCCTTCCCTTGGCAGCATATTGAACAAGAACCACATTTTAATTTTGCTGTCAGTTGCAATGTGACACACCTCCTTTCACCAGGAGTGTGTGTTATGTGTGAGTGTTTTGCCTGCATGTATGTCTATGCACCACATGTGTGCTTGGTCTCCATGGAAATAAGAAGGCATCAGATCCTCTCGAACTGGAGTTAGGACAGTTGTGAACCACACGTGGGTGCTGGGAATCAAACCTAGATCCTCTTCAAGGGCAACAAGTGAACAAGGGCTTAACTGTGAAGCCATCTTTCCAGCCCCTTGCCGTGTGTTTGAATTCTCATAGCTAGCTGAGGAACGTATTGGGAACATAAGAACCATCCGAGCTTTTGGGAAGGAGATGATGGAAGTGGAGAAGTACAGCAGTCACGTGGACCATTTGCTGCAGCTAGCACGTAAGGAGGCCTTTGCACGAGCCGGCTTCTTCGGAGCAGTAAGTAAATCATTGTGGACAGTGAGATTGCAAGAGATTTTCATTCTGTGGCTCTAGACAGTAGAAACAAGTTATTTCAACCCTAAGAATGACTTGGACTTTAAACTGTTTTTATGGAAGAAGAGGAGAACAAGAAAGTGGAATCAGGGAAAAGAATGGCCAAGATCAAAAACACTGATGACAACTTATGCTGGAGAGGATGTGGGGAAAAGGGAACACTCCTGCATTGCTGGTGGGAGTGCAGCTGGTACAGCCCCTTTGGATGTCAGTGTGGTGATTTCTCAGAAAATTAGGAAACAACCTCCCTCAAGACCCAGCAATACCACTTTTGGGCATATACCCAAAGGATGCTCAAACATGCCACAAGGACATGTGCTCAACTATGCTCATAGCAGCATTGTTTGTCATAGCCAGAACCTGGAAACAACCTAGCAAACATTTTGAGTGAGGTAATCCAGACCCAGAAAGACAATTATCACATGTACTCACTCATAAGTGGTTTTCAAACATAAATCAAAGAAACCCAGCCTACAAATCACAATCCCAGAAAACCTAGACGACAATGAGGACTCTAAGGGAGACATACATGGATCTAATCTACATGGGAAGTAGAAAAAGACAAGATCTCCTGAGTAAATTGGGAGCATAGGGATCTTGGGAGAGGGTTGAAGGGGAAGGGAGACACAGGGAGGGGAGCAGAGAAAAATGTAGAGCTCAATAGAAATCGATTAAAACAATTTAAAAAAGATATTTCAAACATCAAAAAAATAAAAATAAAAGGGAGTCAGAGGCCTGGTTTATACTTTCAGGTTCCAAGAGGCCTTAGTTCCTACCGACCACTTTTCTTTTCTTCCTCCTGTAGGCTGGGCTCTCTGGAAACCTGATCGTGCTGTCTGTCCTGTACAAGGGGGGCCTGCTGATGGGCAGTGCCCACATGACAGTGGGCGAGCTCTCTTCCTTCCTCATGTACGCCTTCTGGGTTGGACTGAGCATTGGAGGTATATCACGTCAACAGGCTTTGTGGGTACACACTGAAAACCAGGCCCCCTCTGAACAGCTGTTCTTGCTTGCCATTCCCTTCAGCAAAAGTGAAATCACATGAGTGGAAGAACGGGTTCCCTGTTGGGCTGGGGCTCTAGTGTCCTTCCGCAGCTCAGGGCTATGGGGGAGCTGTGTTTCCCAGCCTGCCGCTTTAGACTGTGTCTCCCAGTGCCCAGGGGAGAAGGGAGTGGTTGACAGGAGTGGAGGAGACCCTGGGCCTGCAGGGTGAGAGTTTCGCCTCACACATTTTGCTGCCCCGAGTTTTAACCTCTCCAGATTCAGTCTCTCTTCCTTCTGTCTTCCTCGGAATTAGTAATAAGTTTTTGTCATTTTTTTTTATTTTGTTCTGTGACCATTTCCTACATCCCACGTACTAGGTCATTCTGCTTCCCCAGCCCTCTCTCCGCCTCTGTCCTTCTCAGTTCCTCTTCTCTACAGATCTCTTCCCCACACTCATGAATTTTTGTTTTGTTTGTGTCCCATGGAGTTTGGTCTGGACTCAGAGTGTGACTCTGCATTTAGAGCCTACCCCTTGAGCTTAGGAGGCTCACCCGTGGGTAATGGCTGTCCCAGAACCTGCTGGTAGCCAGGAATTCAGCAGTGAGCTGTAGGACTCTTAGGACCCTGTAGGACCCTTAGGACCCTGTAGGACCCTGTAAGACCCTTTCTTGTCCTTTACAGTGCTGGTCTCTTTCAGACCTAACGTCTGTAGCCACAGCTCCTGTGAGCTCACAATTGCAGTGGCTTGTTGTGCCTAGAAGATGGAATTTCACATCTTCCTCCTTCTCTTTGCTCTAGCATGCTTCTGGCCCATTCTTTGGGAAATGTTCCTAAGCCTTGGTAGGGGATGATATAAATGCCCTGTTTAGGGCTGAGCTCCTAACTGGAGCTCTTGCCGAATTTTAGCATCTTAGCTGAGTCTCTGTATTCACTGCTGTTTGCTACAAGGAGAGGGTTCTCTGAGAAAAGCTGAAAGTAGCGTTTGTACATTGGTATACACATAAATCTTTAAATAAATCTAAATATTTAGTTTTTTTTTTTTTTTTTATTGAGAGCCTTGCTTTATAGCACAGGCTGGCTTTGAAATCTGTCCTCCTCGGTCTCCTAAGTACTAGGATTACAATGTTGGCCACCATACTCCACTTTTTTTTTTTTTTTTGAGACAAATTCTCTATGTAGTTTTTGCTTTCCTAAAACTTGCCATAGAGACCAGGCTGGCTCAGAATACACAGAGGCCTTAGAATGATTTCCAAAAAGCAACACTGTTGCATTTACAGAGATTTCCCTACCCCAGTAACAGCACAGTCATTCTCTTTCCCCAGAGTGGCCCATTTGTTACACAGTTGCTGAGCCCACATTGACACATTGTCGTCAAAGCTAACGTTAGGCTTAGTTCCTGGTGTTATATACAATTGAATGGTTTGGACAAATATGTATTGTCCTGGGTTCACCATTATGATCTCACAAACAGCCGCCTTTGCTGCCCTGTGTATTTCCACTTCCAGCTGTTAATTCTTCCACCCCTGGCATCCACAGGTCATTTTTTACTCTCTGTATAGCTTTGAAGATTTTAAGTGTCATGGGGTTGGAATCAATTAATCACACAACGTTTTCTGGCTGGTTTCTTTCTTTTATTAATGCACACTTAAGATCCTTTATGTCTCCTATGGCCCAATAGCCCCTGTAGAATCTTTTCTCTTGGAATTTCAGTTCACATGGGGGTAGGCCCTCGAGAGACGCTTACTGAGCTGTCTGAGGAGGTCGCTTTCCTTGCAGTACTGTGATTTCTCACTGGCGATCAGTGTGGTCACATAGACGTTTCCCTTTCATTATCAGCAATCTGGGAAACCTGAGAAAGAGAAACTGTAGCAAGTTAGGGTAAAAGGTAGATGGACGGAGCATCTTGCACCAGCCAGAGCTCCTTCAGTGAGAGCTGCAGATTTCATGTTGACAGCCGCAATTGCTAGGACTCCCCAGGCCAGGAGGAGCATGTGGCCTTTCTCGTCAGCTAACGATGGACTCTTCTGTCTTTAGGTCTAAGTTCATTCTACTCGGAGCTCATGAAAGGCCTGGGCGCTGGTGGGCGCCTCTGGGAGCTGCTGGAGAGACAGCCACAAATGGCTTTTAATGGTGGGTCTGAGGTGGGGCTCTTCTCTGCTGGAGTTTTAAACAGCATGATTTGGACAGTTAGAGCAGTATTCCGCCCTCCTCAGAGAGTGGGCCACTGCCACGAGATGGCCTCTGCTTCAGAGCAGGGAGAAGAAAGGTGGGGATTCCCACGGGACACTTCGGGGAATGATCCGGAAATGTGGGGCTTGAGGACATGGCGTCTGCACCAAGGGCAGGCCGGCAGCAAGCAGGCCTGGTGTCAACAGGAACACCCAGGTGGTTTTCTAGACTCTTCCTTTGAGATTCTGACATTTGCGAGGGGTTGGAGGAAGATGAGTAAAAGGCTTTACGTTTCTTGACATTTGAGGTGATTTGGGAATGCTGGTGTCACGTGGCCAGGATTATCTCCTCCTTCGTCATCAGCTTCCCTTGAGCCTGGGAGATGTGGGAGGAAGTAACAGCACTCAGCACTCAAGGGTGCCTGCAGGTTGCTAGGTGCCTGCAGTGCAGTGAGTAGGCTCGTGGTACTGTCCAGTATGACGAAAGCCAGGGCATGAAATCCAGTGATGAGAGAGAAGTGGACTCCATGTCAGGCCAAGGTCCCACTGGGGCTAAGCAAACCTTTGACCCTCCTTTGGCTCTCATGCAACCCTCATTGTTGTGCTTTCAAAATGTTTATCTGGGGTAGAAAGAGCTCTGCAAAGGAGCTACTTGAGTGCAGTGGCTCTGAGAAAAGTTACTGAGTTGAGCCAGGTGGTGGTGGCGGGGCACGCCTTTAGTCCCAGCACTCGGGAGGCAGAGGCAGGAGGAGCTCTGTGAGTTTGAGGCCAACCTGGTCTGCAGAGCTAGTTTCAGGACAGTCAGGGCTGTTTCACAGAGAAATCCTGTCTTGTACAAAAAAAAAAAAAAAAAAAAAAAAAAAAAAGGAAGGAAGGGGGGAGGGAGAGAGAGAGACAGTGACAGTGAGAGACAGTTACCGAGTGGGAAGCAGATTGCCCCAAAAGTGAATCTTCACGTGGCACTTAACTTGAGCAGGCTATTATGTACAGCCTTAAATCCTCCTAAGGGAAGGTGGCACCTCATGTTTGTAAGGTCACACAAGACTGTATGCACATCATCCTATGCAAGGTAAGCCCGGCAATAGGCCCACCCCTCCAGCACATAGCCCTGCCCCTGCAGCAATAGGCCCGCCCCTCCAGCGCACAGCCCCGCCCCTCCAGCATGAACTGTGTTGGGAAAGGACAACCATTTCTGTTCACTTCAGACAGCTGAGGGAGCCATGTTCCGCCACGAGCTCCATTTTTATCTTTCCATATTCTCTCTTGTGTTCCAGAGGGGACTGTATTAGACGAGAAAAGCTTCCAGGGTGCCCTGGAGTTTAGAAACGTGCACTTCACGTACCCTGCTCGCCCAGAAGTGTCCGTGTTCCAGGATTTCAGCCTTTCCATCCCATCTGGATCTGTCACAGCTCTGGTTGGCCCTAGTGGTTCTGGAAAATCGACAGTGGTCTCCCTCCTGCTGCGGTTGTATGACCCTGTGTCTGGTAGGTGGCATCCTGGGCTGTGTGTGTGCTCTCCTGTTGCCTGCTCTCACCCCATGCCCAGGCGGATCACTCCTGGAGACTTGTGTGATGCTCTGGTCTTCACACTCACAGCGCGTCCCTCCCCTATGGCTGGATGTGGGTCAGTGTCTCAGGGTTTCTGTTGCTACAACAAAACACATGGCCCAAAAAGCAAGTTGGAGATGAAACAATTATTTGGCTTACTCTTCCACATTGCAGTTTATCATCAAAGGAAGTCAGGACAAGGACTCAATAGGGCAGGAGCCTGGAGGCAGGAGCTGACACAGAGACCAAGGAGGGGAGCTGCTTACTGACTTGTTCTCCATGGCTTGCTCAGCCTGCTTTCTTATAGAACCCAGGACCACCCACCCAAGGATGGTGGCACCACCCACAGTGGGCTGGGCCCTCCCCCATCAATCATTAATTAAGAAAATGCCTTAGAGCTAGTCCTATGGAGAGCTTTTCTCAATTGATGTTCCTTTCTTTCAAATAACTATAGTTTATATCAAGTTGATGTATGACTAGCCAGCACGGTCAGCAAGACTGTGCCCAGCAGCTCTCAGTAAATGCCCTCTAGTGCCAGCAGCTAAGGGTGCTGTGCAGTGTCCTGTGCCCACACTGGGACATTGCTGTGCCACGTGCTCAGGTAGCAATGGTCTTCTGATGTTTCTGCCTCCAGACTGTTCCTAGGCTGGTTTTTTGTTTGTTTTGTTGTTGTTGTTGTTTTTAGGTTTTTAAAGACAAGGTTGACCTAGAACTCCCGATGTGGATGAGGCTAACCTCAAACTTGTGGGAATCCTCCTGCCACTGTCCCCTGAGTGCTGGGATTCCAAGCATGCCCCACCATGCCCACTTCCTTAGTTGTTTTATACATAGTTAACCTGGTGACCAGGGGTCCATTTCCATGTGGTAGGGATGCTGCTAAAATTGTTCTGACCGAGTAGGAATTTTTCCTGCAGACCAGGATGGCCTTGAACTCATGACGAACTGCCTGTGCTGCCTCTGAATGCTGGGATTTTTTTTTTTAAGGATAATTTCTTGTATTTCCTGATCTGTCTGAGTGTCCTCCCTCAAAAACCTAGTTTCCACCCACCCCCAACTCTAAAGTTCTGTCTTGCTAAGTAGCTAACCATGCACCTATTGGTGAACCCTTGAGGTCTCTGACATTGGGATCTGGCCAGTGGCATCAAAACCACGCCCCAGTACCACCTCACCATGGCTGTGTAAAATGTCAGATTATAAACCATTCTTAGTGCTCACTGGCTTCTGAACACTGAGTGTAGAAGTAGCCCCTCACCCTTTGCCCTGAAGTCCCAGGCACAGATGAGTAGTTGCACTATGCCTGTAATGCCACAGATCTAGGACAGCATCTTCAGGGCAGGAGCACTGGGGTGAAGGGTGTGCACCACTATCCCCCTGTTCTCACTAAGCTTTACAGCCTGACTTTAGATTGTGATCCTTCTGCTTCAGCTTTCTGAGTAGCAGGGATTAGAGGCCTGGATTGAGCGTGATTTTTTTTTTTGTAATCTATCATGTACTTTATTGAATGCAGGTCTTCACCTCTATGGCAAGCACTCTTCTTCCTGAGGCAGTCCCACAGCCCGGATATTTTTCTAATTGACTTTCCCCCAGTTTGGGTTTGTGTTTTCTTCTTTCTTCTTTTCTTTTTTGACACAGGGTTTTATGATGTAGTTCTCACTGGCCTGGAACTCTCAGAGCTCTGTCTGCATCTCTCTTGCAAGTGCTGGGATCAAAGGCATGCACCCCTGTGCCCAGCTATGTTTTCAGTTGGATTATATCACCCCTTTAAGAGCAAATGTGTGTTATTTTATATAGTTCTCCCTTTTCTTGCCTGGAGTAGATGATCTGTGCATGAACTTTAATTTTTGGATTTAGAAAACAGGTATGACACTGTCTCATTCATTCATAGGATATATGCATATATGTCCTGCATAATCTTAGATGGGATGACAAAATAGACTCCGTTTTCACTTGCAGAACACTTATAGAACTCCCCCCTTGAACCAGGTCTTAGGGTCGCTTCTGAAGTATCAGGAGACTGTAGAGTCAGAAGGCTGCCATGCAGACTGCTAGCCAGTGGGTGCTGTGTGCTCTCCTGTCCCAGACAATTCTCTTTGTAGCCAAGGCTTTGCGTAAGACATCAGATCCATGGAGCACCGATGTTACCAGGTTGCCCAGCTTCCAGCAACCTACAGACTTAGGAAGGTGGCCTGGTTGGTCTTGCCATCCACTAGGGAAGTCCTAGTCCTCTGGAAGTCAGACCTTCCAGAAGACCCCTCTTGCTCTGAAAGTCCAAACCTTGTTGGTTTTGGGTTCCATACAGAAACCAGAAAGTGGGGTGTTTTTGTTGTTGTTGTTGTTTTGTTTTTGTTTTTGGTGGTTGTGATGGAGCCCAGGCCCTTGTGAATACTTCCCTACTAGCCACACTCCAAGTCCAGAGTGTGTGTTTAGTCTCTGAAAATTGCTTGCAGTTTGGGGATGTGGATCAACTGGTAGACTGCTTGTTTAGCATAAAAATCTGGATTTGATCCCCAGTACAGCCTTAGGGGGACAGGGGTCAATCACTGTTTGTCACACTCCTATAATTCTGGGTAGGAAAAGGAGGATCAGAAGTTCAAGATTGTCCTTGGCTACATAGTGAGTTTGAAATTATCCAGGCTACAAGAGATCCTGTCTAAGAAAGAAAGGGGAATGGGGAGAAAGAGAGACAGAAAGGTGGAAAATACCTGGAATGTTCCCACTGGGTCCTTTCTGTGTTCACTTTGGTTATCAGTTCTGACCTCTGGTGACCTCTTTGCCCCCCTCCACCCAACAGGAACAGTCAGTCTTGATGGCCACGATATTCGTCAACTAAACCCCGTCTGGCTGAGATCTAAGATTGGGACAGTCAGTCAGGTAAGAAGACAGGCTTCCCTTGTATCTCACTTTTGTTGAAGCTGCTTTTCCTGTCCTTTTTTTCTTTCCTGGCTCCTGGCTGTGCTGGAACTCTGTGGTCTTGAACTCAGAGATCTGCCTAACTCTGCCTCCTAAGTGCTGGGATTAAAGACATGTGTTACCACCACTCAGCTCTTTTTTGTGTTTGTTTTTCAAGATAAAGTTTCTCTGTAATAGCTGTGGCTGTCCTAGAACTCACTTTGTAGACCAGACTGGCCTTGAACTCACAGAGCTCAGCCTGCCTCTGCCTCCAAGTGCTGGGATTAAAGGCGTGCGCCAACCATCCCCATCTTTCTTTGCTTCTTTTGGTCTCATGTTTCTCAGGAGAGGGACCGAGACTTCCATTTCATAAACCAAATGCAGCTATGTCCCGAAGACTCCAAACACTTCGTCAGTTGAAGCACTGACTTTTTATTAAGAGCTGAGGCTGATGCTCCTCTGCAGCATAGAGAGTCTAGAGGGAGGAGAGTCTCAAGCTCTCACTGCTCTTTCTAATTCCCCATGCGTGGGCATGGGAATCAAGCGCGCTTTCTTTTCAAGAAGCTGCTTGCTCAGGACTGCATGGAGCAACAAAACTGTATCACAGCCAGTTTGTGCACCCTGTAGTAACACTCACACCTTCCGTTCCTGCACTCTGGGGGGACCCCTCCTGTACTAGGTTGGATGGTGCAGCCATGGGCGCTGACTAGACACCCATGTGTGCGTGTGCATCCCAGGGCTCTGCCAGAATGCTGTGGTCATGTCTGGTTGTATGTCAGAAAGCATGGATGGCCATGGGCCCTTTATCTGTAATGGACGGTAGACAGTTGGATTGGAGTCTTTCAGGCCTTGCTAGCCCTAAAGGAGGGGCTGAGATTGACAGGGATGTCATGGACCAGCAGTTGTGGGCACCCATCTCAGGATCTCCTTTCTACAGTGTGGTGAAGACACAGATCAAGTTGGTCTTGTTCTTGGTAAACTGATACCTTTTTTTTTTAAGTTACATTATTTGTTTGTGTACATGTGTGTGTGCACATGCCACGGTGTGCACATGGAGGTCAGATGACAACTTAGGGGATTTGGTTCTCTCCTTTCGCTGTGTGAGTTCAAGGAATGAACTCATTGAACTCAGGTTGTCAGACTTAACAATGAGCACCTTTATCTTCTGAGACATTTTGCCAGTCCCTAAACTGGAGCTTTTAAAATTGGCTAGGTCCAGATCAAAAACACTCCAGCTTATGCTGGAGAGGATGTGGGTTAAAGGGAACACTCCTGCATTGCTGGTTGGAGTGCAAGCTGGTACAGCTCCTTTGGATGTCAGTGTGGTGATTTCTCAGAAAATTAGGAAATAGTCTACCTCAAGATCCAGCAATACCACTCTTGGGCATATACCCAAAGGAGGCGCAATCATACCACAAGGACATTTGATCACCTATGTTCATAGTAGCATTATTGTAATAGCCAGAACCTGGAAACAACTATATGCCCCTCAACCGAAGAATGGATAAAGAAAATGTGGTACATTTACACAATGAAGTGCTACACAGTGGAAAAATAATGGCACCTTGAAAGTTGTATGTAGATGAATGGATCTAGAAAAAAAACATATTGGGTGAGGTGACCAAGAAAGACAAATACAATATGTACTCAGTCATAAGTGGCTTCTAGACATAAAGCAAAGAAAAAAACCAACCTACAGTTCACCACCCCAGAGAACCTAGCCAACATAGAGAACCCTAAGAGAGTAATACATGTATCTACATAGGAAGGAGAAAAAAAACAAACAAACAAGATCTCCTGAGTAAACTGGGAGTGTGTAGGTCATGGGAGAGAGTAGAAAGGAAGGGGGAGGGAGGAAGGGGAGTGAAGAAAAATGTATAGCTCAATAAAAACAATAAAAAAGAAAACAAAAAATAAAACTAAGAACACATAAGATCATTGAAAAAATGGAAATAAAATTGGCTAGGTAAGGTTGTAGAAGATCAGGGCCTCCAGGCAGAGCTTTGTTCTGGGACCGTGTGTCTCTCTTGTCTGAGGCCTGTCCTCAACTCCTTGGTACCTATGGTGCCTACCTGAAATTTCCGACAAATGTGCTGTGTTTCCAATTCTAGGAGCCAGTCCTGTTTTCCTGCTCTGTCGCAGAAAACATTGCCTATGGTGCTGACAACCCGTCCTCAGTCACAGCCCAGCAGGTGGAGAGGGCAGCAGAGGTGGCCAATGCTGCGGAATTCATTCGTAGCTTCCCACAGGGCTTCAACACTGTGGTTGGGGAGAAGGGCATCCTTCTATCTGGTACGTGGTTCTTGAATCTTATTTGTTGGCTCACTCCTGCCAGGTGTGTAACTGCCCTGCTGTGTAACAGAAGCAAGAAATTCTTGCCTGGTTCCCAGAACACTGTCCGTCCTTTTTCTTCCTTCCTTTCTTCCTCTTCCTTCCTTCCTTCTTCCCTTCCTTCCTTTGTTTTTCTTTACTAAAGATTTATGTATTCAGTGTTCCTCATGCATGAATGCCTACAAGCCAGAAGAGGGCGCCAGATCTCATTATAGATGTTGTGAGCCACCATGTGGTTGCTGGGAATTGAACTCAGGACCTCCGAAGAGCAACCAGTGCTCTTAACCACTGAGCCATCTCTCCAGTCCAGTGTCAATTCTAGACAAACATAGGAAAATCCCTTCATCCTTTCTGAAAGGATGTGTTTCTGCCCACAACTTCCCTGAGACGGCTGTGCAGTACCCAGGGACAGCCTTTGTTTCCGTCAGAAGAGATGTGCTGCGCAGCCTGGGGCTCTAAGGAAATAAAAAGGAGCCGTGACCTGCCCAAAGAAACCAAATATCAAAAGTTGTCTTCGTTACTGTTCTGTTTCTGTGAAGAGATACTATGACCAAGGCAACTTTTATAAAAAGAAAGTGTTTAATTAGGGGCTTGCTTACAGTTTCAGAGGGTAGTACATTATTATCATGGTGGGGAGCATGGTGCATGGTGGCAGGCAGGCATGGTGCTGGAAACATAGTTGAGAACTTGGCATCTTGATCCAACGCAGGGAGAGAGAAGGAGAGAGAGGGAGAGGGAGAGGGAGAGAGAGAAGGAAAGAGAGAGAGAGAGAGAGAGAGAGAGAGAGAGAGAGAGAGAGAGACTGAGAGACTGGTGTGAGCTTTTGAAACCTCAAAGCTTACCCCCAGCAACACTCCTCCAACAAGGTCACAGCTCTTAATCCTTCTAATCCTTTTCAGACACTCCCTGGCGATGAAACATTCAAATATATGAGTCAGGGAGGATCATTTATATTCATATCACCACAAAAATGTTCTTATTTTCCAATGTGGACTAGGGACCAATAAATTTTCCAGAAAGAACAAAGAGTGAATTCTTTTTTTTTTTTTTTAAGAATTTATTTATTGGGCTGGAGAGATGGCTCAGAGGTTAAGAGCATTGCCTGCTCTTCCAAAGGTCCTGAGTTCAATTCCCAGCAACCACATGGTGGCTCACAACCATCTGTAATGGGGTCTGATGCCCTCTTCTAGCCTTCAGGCATACACAGAAACAGAATATTGTATACATAATTAAAAAAAAGAATTTATTTATTTATTTATTTATTTATTTATTTATTTATTTATTAAAGAAGAGCAAATTCTTTAGTGGACCATCTATTTTCTCTGTCAACTATGATCCCCTAAAGCTGAGGATGTAGCTTAGAGCAAGAGTGCTTGGGTAGCATGCACAAAGACCCAGGTTCAATTCTCAGCAACACAGGAAAAAACAAAGCAGAAAACACATATGATCCCCTTTCTTTTCTTTTCTCTTCCTTTCCTTTCCTTTCTTTTCTTCCTTCCTTTTTTCTTTTTTCTTTCTTTCTCCCCCTCCCTCTTTCTTTCTTTCTTTCTTTCTTTCTTTCTTTCTTTCTTTCTTTCTTCCTTCCTTCCTTCCTTTTTTCTTTCTTCTCTCTCTCTCTCTCTCTCTTTCTTCCTTTCGTGTAGTGATAGAGATGGAGTCCTGAACCTGAGCGTTGTAGCCAAGCATTCTACCATGAAACTACACTCCTTCTAGCCTGTGCTTATTTACCTAAAGCACCCTTAAAAAATGCAAAGCACATTCTTCATTGAGGGCTTTATGAAAAGACTTTCATCCTTGTGTGACCTGTGTGCCCAAGCATGTTGAAAGGCTTTATGTCTGGGAGGCAGAATTGGTCATTCTGGAACATCTTCAATTCCAGCAGACAACTGTGCATTGTGGGTACCACATTCTTGGGGGAAAGGGAAGCTTGTTTTGACTTGGTGTAGAATGTGAAGTAGGACCTGTAGTGGAGCTAAAGGGAAGCACATTTTTGGTTAGACACAAACTTTTTTTTTTCAGTGCAAATGCTAAAATGTGTTTCTTCTTGAGGTTCTGAGCTCCCATTCTCTAAGGAGTCTTGTGGCTAGACCAGACAATGGTCCTTTCTAGTTCTGAGATTAGATCACAGAGGATAAATGAAACAAAAAGATGGTGATAATTTTGCATGATTAAAATAAGAAGCAGGAGGGAGATGTTTTGGATGAACATCGTGGGAGATTAATCATAGTGGGGTTCATCTTTCAAGCAAGCCCCCTGTTCTCTTGGAGTGATTTCTGTATATTTTTACATCTTAACAGTATTCTCGTGCTTCAATGTGCAGTTAAGGAAGCTACATGTCCTTCAATCTTTTTGTTTTTAGGCACAATCTTACAGTATACTCTAGGTTGGCAGTGTTTAATCTTCCTGTCTCACCCTCCAAAGTGCTAGAACTCTAGGTATATACCATAGCACCCAACACCTTTGCAGTTTGAAAGGAACAGACCCTTAATTATAGGTTTTTAGTATACTAGTTGGTGTTGAGGACAACATTCTGAGAGGCCATTAGCGTTTACTCCAGGATCTTACCCAGGATGCTCCAAAGACTATGCCATGTGAGTATGGTACCTCAGCATCTGTTGAACATGAAGACCACCTGGATGAATGGCATGCTACCTAGCATCGCCATGAATAAAGATGTCCCATCCACAGTTTGAAAGGAGCTGTTAGCACCTCAAGTAGAATTGGACTCCGTTAGACAGCCCACATCAGGAGGTGTGAGCCTCTGGGAGTTTTGGCTGTGGAGTCCTCAAGGGAACCAGCCAGATGCAAGGCAGATGGCTAGATTGCTTGTTACAAACCTGCATTTTAACATTACCTCTGTTCCTAGAGCGGATTCCCTGGTTTGTGACCTCCAGCTTCACGTACACATAGAACCGCTGTGGGGCAGGGAGGCAGGCTACCACAGGACTGAGGCCGTGTGCCAACACAGAACAATGGAGACGTGCACCCAACATCAGAGTTCCAAGTTCCCACAGTGTGCTGGCTGTCCTGTTAGGAGGAATGCGGGAGTAAAGACCGAAGTGAAGACTTCACATCAGCGCAGGGCAGGCTCTCCCATTGCCAGCTGGGAGCCATTTCACACCGAGCCTCAGGTTTTTCTGTGGCATGTTTAATTGTTTTATTGCTGCTTTGTTTTTGAGGCAGCGTCTCACTCTGCAGCCCTGGCTGGCCTTGAACTTGCCTTCTGAGTGCTAGGATTAAAGGTTTGTGCCTCCATGCCTAGCTGTGCCTCAGTTTTTACTTTAAAACTGAAAGTAATTATAGGGTCTGCCTCCAAGAGTGATTGTTATAGATTAATATGCCAAATGCACTTCGAAAATGTCTTCTGTGAAGGGAATCTCAGCATATATTAACTATGGTAATTGCTTGTTTTTTTTTTTAATTTAGTAAGAGAGTACATTTAGAAAACAAACTTCTGTTGTAATGCCCATCAGTTGTAGTTAAATCAAAGTTGTCTTCAAATTGTCCGTCTCATTGGAAAATTTGCTAAGACTTTTGCTAAGCTTACCTTTACCATTTGTTTCTGTCAGGTGGGCAGAAACAAAGGATCGCAATAGCCAGGGCCCTGCTGAAGGTAAGAACCCTGACTACTGATGACTCAGCAGTTCCTGCTCTCTGTGTGTGTGTGTGTGTGTGTGTGTGTGTGTGTGTGTGTGTGTTATATGACTGACAGTCTGGTAAAAAGGTAAGTTGGGAGTTCTACTGAGGAGTCATTGTCCAAGTATTTGTCATATTTGAGAAATTTCTCAGGAGTCCAGTGTTAAAGGAGTGTCAGCATGGGGATGAACTTAGCAAATGGACCTTTTACCTAGAAGGATCAATTGACCAGTGACTGATTATTAACAAACTTTCAGAGCGGCGCCAATGTGCGTGTCTAATCTTTACTTGGTTGTTTGGAAGCCTCAGGCAGACAAACTCCAGCCAGGAGCAGGAAGAACCTCAGTGGGGAGCCAGGCATTCTTTTTTTAAGACAGCAACATCTCACCAAGCAAAACAAGTTCCAGGACAGCCAGGGCTACAGAGAAACCCTGTCTCAGGGCTGGGGTTGAGGGAGAAAGCAATGTCTCCCTTTGTTGCTCTCCTCAGATGCACAGGTGGTTTCTTTTTGGTTTTTCGAGACAGGGTTTCTCTTTGTAACAGTCCTGGCTGTCCTAGAACTCACTTGGTAGACCATGCTGGCCTCGAACTCACAGGGATTCAGCTGCCTTTAATCCCAGCACTTGTCACTACCTGGCCTATGCAGGTGATTTCTGATGGCCTCATGGAAGCATGATTCCGTAGTATACCTGTTTAAATGTACCTCGTCATGCACATTTGTTCATACAGCCTGGCTAACTCTCCTTCTCCCCAGAATGCTGTGTTGTGGAACACTTTGTCTACATTTGCCTTTCTGGACAGTCTGGACAATGGAACCAGCAGTACACGTCTCTGCTTTTTCTCATAGCACTCAGAAATGTCGGAATTCCCTGTGTGTTATTGAGAACTTCCCTCTCTTGCTGCTTAACCAATGAGTAATGTCTGTGTCTCGGTTGATTTTAAGGTTTCTGTAATGTTTGAACATGGAGGGTACCTTTTGTTGACACATTTTAATTTCTTACAGATAAACCTTTTTTCTTACAGATTTTTTTCTAGGAAAAAAAGCTAGAATTTGGTGTATATATTGGTTCAGTTTTGCTTTTTCTGCATTATGCATTAGTGTGCTCTTCTTAAATAAGCTATTGGGAGGACGTGGAGGTAGCGAAGAGTGAACTTGCTGGTTTCCAGTTGTTTACTGGCTGATGAGCAGGTAACACTGCTTTACGCCAGTTCCATCTAGTGATTTCAGTGACCGTGGCTTCAGCTTGATGGGATCACCTACATCACATGTTCACACAGATGCTTAGGAGTAGGTTCTCTTTACTAAGATTTTTTGCTTTTATTTATTTATTTATTTATTTATTCATTTATTTATTTATTTATTTATTTCAAGGCAGGGTTTCTCTGTGTAACAGCAGCTCTGGCTGTCCTTGAACTCACTCTGTAGACTAGGCTGTCCTTGAACTCACAGAGATCTGCCTGCCTCTGCCTACTGAGTGCTGGGAATAAAGGCTTGTGCTACCATCACCTGGCTATATTATTATTATTTAGTTATTTCCCATCTAAATACAGTTCTTTGGGCCTTGGTGCACTGAACTGGTTCATCCTTCACCATGGGATGATGGAAACATTCTAATGTGTCTGTCACTCAACAGGGTCCTCCCTCAGCAACTCACCTCTTCCTGTCAGCCTCCACATCAGCCAGAAGACCTCTCTTTAGCCTTTTGTCCTGGTGCCTGCCCAGGCATTTCATGTGGGTGGCCTCACACAGACCCTTTGTGTCTGACTACTTGACAGTCCTTTGTTTGCCAGGGGCAGCAATGCTACCGTGTAGGTCAGAACTCTCTTCCTCCTCCTCCTCCTCCTTCTTTTTTTAATGTATATGAGTGTTTTGCCTGCATGTGTGTCTGTGCACCACACCTGTGCCCGGCATCCCAGGAAGCCAGTAGAAGGCATCAGATTCTCTGGGCCTGGGGATACAGAAGCTGCCATGTGGGTACTGGGAATTAAACCAGGGTCCTTTGGAAAAGCAAGAGCTTAACCACTGAGCCATATCTCCATCCCCTCTTTCTGTCTTTTAAACTGCAATAGTTAGCTTTTTATTCTATTTATTTTTCTTGGGGTCAAGGATACACAAAAGTCAGCCAACAACCTGTGGGAGTCAGTTCTCTCCTTCTAATGATGTGGGATCTGGAGATGAAATTCAGGCTGTCAGGCTTGGTGGTTAAGTGCCTTTCCTTACTGAGCCTTCTCACCCGCCACTGCCCAGAGCTGCGTTTGCTAATAAATCATTTTTCTTTTTCCTTCTTCAGAACCCCAAAATTCTTCTCCTTGATGAAGCAACCAGGTGAGGGTATCTCCGTGCTGTGTGTAATCATGTCAGAGTGTCTAATATGTGGCTCCACGTTGGAGGGTGTCTCTAGCGATGTGTGTGTCCAGGCAGCTCTGACCTCTCTGCTTCCTCTTGTGTGTGACCTTGTCTGTTGCAGTGCACTGGATGCTGAGAACGAGTATCTGGTACAGGAAGCACTTGACCGGCTGATGGAAGGAAGGACAGTGTTGATCATAGCTCACCGCCTGTCCACCATTAAGAATGCCAATTTTGTTGCTGTCCTTGACCAAGGAAAAATCAGTGAACATGGGACACATGAAGAGCTGCTTTTGAAACCCAATGGGCTTTACAGAAAACTAATGAACAAACAGAGTTTTATGTCAGTATAATGGAGAGTCCCTGGAGCTGCCACAGGATCAGCCTATAATCCCAGCTATCAGTAAACTGGAGCAGAAGGATGGTGAAGACTTCATCGAGTACATAGCAAGACCCTGTCTGAAAACAAAAACAAAGCCGTAGGTACTGGTGGGTTGTCTGAGAGACTTTTGAAACCAATCAGCATTGGAGAAAACAGCTTAGGACTGTATGAAACCTGTGGATCATACTTCAGTGATTTGAGACATGCCTATTTTCACAAAGAATGTAAAATATTGTTCTAACATGTACCTGTCCTCTCTGACCTTATCCAGTTTTAAAGTTGTAACTTTCTAAATGTCTGAAGCGCGGAGGTTGCCGCAGGTCTTGGGATGTTTGCTGGCTTGGCACAGCACCTCGTTTCCTTTGCCTGCTGCCAGAGTCAAGCTGTTGTCAGGTGGCGGCTTTAAGAAGGGAACTATAAACTAAAAGCGTGCCTACTTGAAGCTAGGTTGCCAGTCACTGGGCTCCTACCTGGGGCCACTGGAGGAGAGCTTGCCCTGTCTGACCCCCCCACATATCAGCGGACAGAGCTCTGGACGCAGTAGGCTGCAACTATCTGGGTGTGCGGTGCGCAGCACTGGGGCATGTGAGGGCCTGATGCATTTTGCCAAAGGAAGAAGTCCCATTCTGTAAACAGGAAAGCCTCTATTTTTTATTCACCTCCTTATTCTATGACTCCCTTTGAAAAGCAAGGTACCAATGACCAGGAATCGCAACAGAAGTGAATAGAAATCAGTTTTACATTCATTGAAGCATGTATCTTTGGGGGAAAATGCCTGTTTTAAATATGTAATTCTCAGATATAATTTAATATTTTAAATTTTCACTAATAAGGCTGAATCAGAATAATATAATTTTCAGCCTTGATTATGGTGGCTCTTTTGCCTTAGCAGCAGAAGCACAGTGACAAAAGGAGCATCGTCTTTTGGGAAGCGTCACCATAGGATGCATGTTGTCCTGCTGCTGTGGCAAATGTGGCTGCCTTGCCAGGACCGGGCAAATGAGGAGCCTGAAAATTGTTTCTCGAATATTCAGACATGGGTTCTGTGAAGGAGCAGTCTAAAGCCGAGAGGTAGCTGTTACAGCATCCAGTTCATCTTGAAGAGGCTAACAGTCATGAAACAGCTGTTCTGGTTTAAAAAGAAAAAAATTAGCATCGTGGCTCACACCCCTAATCCTGGCAGCTGGGAGACCAAACCCTACATTACAGTAGTGAGTTTGAAACCAGCCAGGATGTGAGACCTTATTTCAAAGACATTTGAAGAGGTTGAAAGTCCTGCTCCATGGGGTGCATGGAGCATTAACGTGGCACTGCCCCCTAAAAGGAGATGAGTGGCCTTTTCGCCCACCTACAGTGTCTCTGTTCTTACAGATTGGCCACATTTTTTTTTTATATCAGTGCTATTAGTTGGACGTTGCCTCAAGAAGAAGTGGCCTTTTTTCTGCTGCTGCTGTAGAGAGCCGAGGCATGGCTACACTGAGATGTAGATGGACACAGCTGCCATGTGCATTTGCCTCTGGCCATACTGGAAGAAACTTGATGAAAAGCACAGACTTCACAGTTTATGTTGTTTGGAAACTTGAGTAAGATGGGTTCCCTGAGTGACTGCAGTGGCCTTTGAGTTAGTGACCCGCACATCTGTGACAGTCGTATCCCATCACTCACGTGTTACATATCCCATATCGCATTATTCAGCTGGAAGGATGGTTCTCAGAAGACAGAACAGCTGTAATCGGGCTGGCGGGAAACCCCTTCGCTCCATGGATGTATTTAAAACACTGAATTCAGTCATCACATTTTATTTTTCAATTTGTTTGTCTTTAACATTTTATACCAGATTAAAATTTATCGTGAATTTAGTGTGCCTGTTATGATGCTGAGACGGAACCAAAGGCCTCACACATGCCTCTCAGTTATAGCCACACCCTCAGGCTCATGTCTGTCCGTTCTTTTAACATTTTGTACATACTCAGTTTCTTAATAGAATTTGCTATGGAGACTCAAAGAACTTTTTAATCTAACATGCCAAATACAGCGTGGTGACTGCAAGTCCCATGCCTTTCCTCATCAGACTCTTAATGTCCTCACTTGTTTGCGTTTGTGAGCGTACAGAACGCTCACAGAGCAGCCACCCCAGCTCCAGGACTAAGTATTCCCTGCCCCAGCACGAGAACAGTTCTGTGGCCGTGCGGAGGGGTCCAGCAGTGTCTGCCTTCAGAGAGCTCTAGTTTGGAGGGGTTAGGCAGGCAGAAATCAGTAAAAAGTCTGGCAAAGTGCTGTGGCCAGCAAGGTGTTTGGAGCTGTTTGGTTTCAGCCTGTGAACACATTCCACTGGGTGCGGTGGCAGTCCCACGAGGTAGACAAACACTTAGGTCCCCTTCCCCCAGGGAAGGAAGCAGCTTTGGCAGGTTCTGAATTGGTTTGTCACTTGTCTTAGTGTCCCACTGCTGTAGTGAAACACCATGACAGGGGCAACTTAAGGGAGAAACGTTCCCTTGCTGTCCCTGAGGGATTCAGTCCATCCTGGCTGGGCAAACATCACGGCAGGTCAGAGGGACAACCTCAGAGAAGCCAGAAGAGGGCATTGGTCTCTCTCGAGTCAGGTACAGGTGATTCATGTATGGAACGTCGATGCTCTGTAAAGTGTTCGCTCCTAACCACTGAAGCATCTTGCCAGTTCCCCACACATTTGCCCTTATTTGTTGTTTGTTTGCTTGAGCACAGTTTCATGATGTAGTTTTGGCTGTCCTAAAACTCACTATGTAGACCAGGCCGGCCTGAACTCACAGAAATCCACCTGCCTCTGCCTCCCAAGTGCTGGGATTAAAGGTGTGGGCCACCACACCCAGCAATGATTTTCTTGAAGAATACAATTTTCCTTCAGCTTGCTTACTTTTTCTGGGCTTTTGTCTGTTTTCCTATCCATAAATGTAGTCATACCTGTATTACCTAATCCTCACTACTCCAACATCTCCACACAGGGAATGTTTCAGCTCACGGAAGCTAGCAAGTCATTCCAGTTCCTGCAGAAGTTTATACAAGGCGTGGTTAGCAAACCCAAGCTTCTGATCTACTTAACTTCACATCCACAGTGGTTTCTCAAGTAACTACGCTTTGGTTTCTTTGGTTTTTGAGACAAGGTCTCATGTAGCCCCAGTTGGCGATGAACAACTCCTGGTCCTACAGGTACAAGAATAAAGCTGTACATCCACCAAACATCTTCAGACACTACCCTCTCTACCTCCTATTGCACACCCCTCCCAGTAAAATAGAAACAGACAAAATGTTCTGGGCTCTATAAGACTCAGAGGCAGCTATAGAACCAAGACAAACCCATTACTTTCTTTCAGATGGGAGAAGATACACGGTAACTGCCCATAGGACAAATGTGATCTTGGGGAATATGAACTGGCAGACTGTACTCCTCACCTAAGATTTACTCCACCAGTGTTTACTTAGCCATTCCCCTATTTCAGCAAAGCTGTTGGGAAAGTCTACTGTATACTTGTTACAGTGGACTCGAAGAAAGCTACCCTCTCAAGATATTTAGAAATAGCTGGCTGTAGTAGGTGCACCCCTGTAATCCTAGCACGTGGGAGACAGAGGCAGGTGGATCTTTGTGAGTGGGTGTCTCAACACCATCCCTCTCCCCCAGAAAGGCATTTAGAAGCAGCTACTTGAGTCAGGTGTGGTGGCAGGCATCTGTAATCTCTGCAGGACCAGGAGTTATTCAAAGCCATTTTGGGCTACGTGAGACTTTCTCTCAGACATCAAAAATACCAAAAATGAAATTACTTGAGAGGCCACTGCGAACACAAAGTTGTTAGACAGTTCAGAAGTATATATTATATATTCATGCAGGGAGGAGGAAGGTCATCCCTGATCTAAGGAAGGTTTCCAGAGATTGCAGTGTTAAATTTGACACGGGTTCCAGAAGGAATTTGCGCAACGGCATTGAGACTTTAATTCATAGAATGTTGAATCCAAGTGGGAAGTGGTGAAAAGGGGAAAGGTCACCGGAAGTTAAGTCACAGAGGACCTCACGAAGGAGTTCAGCAAGTAACCCCTGGGCGGTTATCAGCCCGGGGTATTTACAAACTCTAGTGCAGCCTCGACCTCACGTTAGTTCACTGGCTGGTAGTGTGGGAGCAAGGTGGAAAAGAAGACACACTCCCTATATGAACCGCGGCCCTCCAAATCAGATGCAGGAGACTAACATAGAACTGTGTGCATGCCTGCTATAGGACTTCTACACGGCCCTGGGACTACGGGGATGGGGGAGTGAGAGTGAGCCCGTCTCGGGGTGGGGGCGAGGGGCGTCTTCGTGCCTCGGGTAGTAGGCCAAACCCAACAAACTGCAAAATGCGACTGGGAAGCAAGAGCTGGGGGCCAAAGGAAAGCCCAGACATTCGGACGAAGGCCAAGGCTGCGACCGATCTTGGGGTGGAAAAAGCTCTCCTGAGCGCATCAAGAATCAGCACGCTACCGAAGCGCCACCGCACAGAGACGCCAGCACAGTGACTTCCTCCTCCCCCCGGTCCGCGCTCCCCGCGGAAGCTCAGCTCCAGCCTGAGCGCCGGAGAACCGGGCTTCTTCTCTACGTCCCCGGGGGCTCCGGACTCTGACCCACAACATGATCCTCGCCCCTCCGATTCCAAATCGCTGGCCACCCGCTACGTGACATGACGTCAACACGCCGTTCCAGTTCCGTCTCCGCCCTGCAGCTCGGCGCCAAGCTTTGCCATCATCGCCACGCGCCGTCTTCTCCCTATTGCGCATCATTGCCAAGCGTCCCCGTTACGCCATCAGTAGGCGCCTTCCCGCCCCCTTAGGGTTCAATCTCCTGGCGCGCGAGGTCCTGCTTTATTTTTCTTCCGCGAGTGGAGTTTCCTCTGCTCCCTGCAGACATGTTTCCAGGCGTCTCCTCTCCGTGGACCCCCGGGCCGGGGACCCGCCGGGGTCCGCTAGTCGGAATCGGGCCGGCGTCCACGCCTAGAGCGAGCCGAAGGGGTCTGTCTCTGGGGTCTGCAGTTAGCTCGCCGGTGCTCTTCTCGCCCGTAGGCCGGCGCAGCTCAGTGAGCTCTAGGTAAGTAGGGGTTCGGCGACCAACAAGTTCGGCTCCCAAGCTGGCAGGTGGAACCGGGCAGCGGGGGGAAGCTATCGCGGCGTTGGGAAGTAGTCTCTCTTGGGTATTGCCGATTTTCAATGGGGGCCCTCATTTTGCACTTCCTTTGCTAACTTTTTATTGGATTCATGAATTCACTCAGTCTTCGCGCTAGAGAAAAGAATGAAAGCACCTTGTGAGCAGTACCAAAGCAATGATTTTGTAAAGTAGAAACACACTTCAGATTATTGTAAAGATGAAAGCAAAAGTGACTTCTTTATTGGTAAAGACAGGAAAGAAAATCAGGCCAGTTTCAAGGAGCTGTGTGGCATTTGGTAACTCATTTTGGTTTGAACTAATCCTTTTGTGATCTAGTGTAGACGTGCAGCCCAGAACTGTGTCCTGCCCACTTTGAAACAAGTCATTCTTTGTACCCCAAGGGTGGCTTTTGCCCAATCCTCTGTCTCCATTTCTCAAGTACTGCTATTTCCCGCGTGTGCTAGCTTGCCTGGCTACCGTAATTTTATTTAACAGCTCTATCTTTATGTCAGGGTCTCAACAACCTTACCAATTTATTCTGTTCTTCTTCTTTTTTTTTTTTTTTTTTTTTTTTTTTTTTTTTTTTTTTTTTTTTTTTTTTTT